ACTAGCTTATATTAACTAAGGCTTTCTAAACTAACTTGTTTTCTTATTTGTAATATTTTATATATTTTATATTGTTAATATTTAAGTATTCCATTGAAATTTATTGTATTATTTTTGAATAACTCATTAAATATATGCTGCACTTCAAGCGTTAGGATATTTGTTATTAAACTAAATTAAATAAAATAAAATTAGTTGTATGCTCTATGCTCAATTTATTTTGTATTGTTTGCCTTTACTTTGACATCATCTACTTAGAATCCATGCTAATTTTTTAAACTAAAGCTATGTTAATTTAATTTTTTTTTATATTTCTGGAACTCTTACAATTTAAGCCAAGATGAACTATGGTTTATCGACTTGGGAGAAAAAATCTATATCGAAGAGGTGGATAATTTCGAAACTCATCTATTTGAGAGTTTTTTAATATATTTGTTCAGTGCTTCGCCCTGCAACATCAATGCATCTCTGTTCTTCTTCTTCGACTGCTGTCGTTGTCGCACCTGTCGCACAATTTATTTTTCGCCCAAGAAGCAAAAAAGCGCAAAAAAAGCAATGCAATAACCACCGAAAAAAATATAAAACAAAAAAAAAAGGAACAGGCCAGTAAAAAGCAGTTGCTTGATGTGCAGCGCATATCCGTTTGTCTTTAGCTTCCTTTTGGTAATGACGACAGAGCCGAAGAAGCAGCTGCCGTCCAAAAAACATGGCCAAAAGAGACAACAGCAGCGAAGTGGCAGTGGTTATGGTCCTGATCCCGAGATACTTTTCGATGTATCTGTATCTGCAGTCTGCAAAAGACGAAAACGAAGACGAAGACGCTTCCCAGCAGAATCGCGAGCTTGGACTTGTAATTTGCAATCGTTCACATGCTGTTCTTGTCCGATTTTATTTGCTTTCTTTTATTTTAGATGCTCCTTTGCGGTCGTAAAGTTTATCTGCCCTCCTGGACGAAACCAAAAGGAAAACGATTGCCAAAAAATAAATATATTGTAAAGTCTCCTTCTGTTGGTATTGTTTTCTTTCAGTTTGAGTTTCGGTGAGAAATAAGAAAAGGTTCACAGCCCTTTTCAGCAGTTGTAGATCAATGTCACATTTATGTTTTTATTTCAGATTTATAACTTTATTAAAACATACAAGAGAACCTACACTTATGTGCATGTTCTTTGACACGTTGAAGTACGGCAAAAAAAAACGAGGTTGTTTTCCGTTTTTTACAAGTATTGAATGTCTTATAGATCACTGACATACAATCTAATTTAAAAGCTTCAAATAAAATCATAAATACTTTTCTCTATTGTATGTTAGTTTAATCAAGAAAATGCCTTTACCCGGCAAATTACCATAAAGCCATCCAACTCATTCTTATTCTGTAGTAAAAATGTTTATTCTATTTTTTCTGTTCAACAAGTGCCTATAAAATAGATAGTTGGTTGATCTGTCGTTAAGTAAGGAATAATAAAATGATCTGCAATTGTTCCTTATTCCATCAATTAATCTTTCTGTCTCAGACTTTAAGTATAAATTGTGCCTTAGTGTCTACGTTCACTTTGGTATATATAATCAATCTATTTCAATCTTAATTCTTTCTATCTTACTTTACTATTTTTGTACAAATGTATATTTTATTTTTGTATAAATATATCGATATTCATTTATTGGACAATAACTACATACTTGTATATGCAAATATCTTAAAAGTTGATAAGTTGCCAAGATCCTTTTTTTTGTGTCTCACACTTAACCTTAACCCCTTGTTCCCCCTTGGGTGCTACTGCGGCAGTCGCATGTGGAAAATAAATTGCTAGGAAAACATAAACAAATTACAGCAAATTAATAAAGCTGTTCGACGGTGATTTAATGGGCCAGAGGGCAAACCGAAGAGGGGATCGCTGGGATCGCAGGCAAAGATAAATATATATCACCGAATCTGGGTGGTGGTGGTGGCATGTAAACGATAATGTAATGGATAGGAAAATGCTACACACATCCGATTTTCCCCTTTTGGGCAGGCACTCGTCAAAATGGGTGTGAAGACGACGCTCGGCGAGATTAGACAATTTGGTATGGTTCGTTAGGAGGTTTGCGCTTGCTTGGCCAAAACGGAAAAAATCAAAACATAATTTCCAACGCTTAGGAGAAAGGGAGAAAGACGGGAGAGGGGAGAGGAGAGAGGGAAGGGGGCGGGACAGCACCTTTGTACCGTTACCGGTTCTCAAAGACGCAAATGGTGGTAAACTAGTTTCGCCGCTGGATAGTTGGCCTTCTGCCGCTGCCTCTGAAAACTGCGATTTCTCTGCCGGCATGACAATGGAAATTAGAAATACAGGCAAACAGGAGCAGGACTACAAGAAAAGGAAAAAAATGTGGAGTACGTTAGGCTCAAGGATCACAAAGATCTGAACACGAAGGTACAGCTGCGACGAGAAAGGTCTTAGCTTAACACACTAAACAAAGGTTGCTGGGTTTCCATTGTCGCTAAAGTTTGGACTTATAATAAAATTCTATATAAAAACATATTTAAAACTAATATAAGATATGACTATCATGAGTATATCAACATTGATAGTCTTAAATTTGATTGCTTACATAAAAATGTTTAATAAATAATAACTCATTTTTCATTCCTTATTTTAATCATTTTTAATTGATTTTTTATGCTACATAATTATTTTTGTATGATATTAATTTGCTACAGTTACGACAGTTTGTCCTTAGACTTAGTATAAAGTACAAAGGGTTGAAAAGTTTGGGGTTGGGGGAATCAATTGGCATTCAGCAGATGTTGTCCTGTGGCGCATCCTTTGTAATTATCAAAGGAGTGCGATGGAGTTGGAGTCGGCCGAGAAGGGACCCCGAGGCACGGGCTAAGCCCATTAAAAGTCCAAAGCTACTCGAGCCTGTGTGTACAGTTGCCATTGGGATCGTTCAGTCACTCGTTCAGTCAGTCCTTCAGTTGGTCAGTCAGTCATTTAGTCACTTAGTCAGTTTGCCAACCTGTCTCTGTTTGGCATCACCTGCCATCGCCATCGTCTGCCGTCTGTTAATGTGTTTAATGATGCCTTGGCCATCGGCGATCTCAGTTCGGTTTTCATTTATGCCAAATTGCGGCCTCCAATCTTGGGTAGTGCTGCCAAAAGCAAAACATTAGCCCCATTTACTATATAAAGAATACGAAACCTTAAAACTAATAAAAATTAACATTTCAGGATAGTCATAATTAAAACAATGATTTGGTTTACACTCCCCGAATTTAAATATTATCCTTACTTGGTTTAAAGTTACAAGAAATCTCCAGCTTTCAGGCAGTCATTTTTAGTTTCTACCACATACAATATACATCTGAAATAAAGCAGATGTTTTTTCTGGATTGTCCTAAACTAAAAATAACCTTTAGATTAAAAATGTATGTTTGCTGTTTTTTGTTTAATCAATTTTGGAAATAAATCGTGGGAAAATTGCTACTTGCTTTACGAAGCAAGCTAGATCATACCTGGTAATAGCCGAACGCTCAGCTCTGTTCAAGGTGTGACTATGTGCCATTCCAGATGTGTCCGGACATGCCTCGTGCCTCTCCGATTGTCCTGATGCGATATGCGGGCAGAGCCGGTCTTCTGGTTTATTTTTTCATCGGTCTCTAGCCACGCGCCGCAACTTTCCTCGCGACTCTCGATCGAGGGCTTGCCGCCGATGCACCTGCTCTCCTTCCAAAACTAAAACCAACTGGCCACCGAATGTGGGCCGCCCTAATGGAGTTGTCCCCGGGCCCAAGGCTCGCAACTTTTACCAGCCTGCTCAGGGCGATCATTAACTTGGCAGAGGCCTCATTCGCCCCACCACATTTTTGGTTTATTTTAATTTGTTTTTATTTCGAGTATTTAGTGGGTTCGCTTGTCATTTAGGAAGGTTACAAAATCTTAAGTCTTGGGTACTCAAAAGAAACAATTTTTTTAGGTAACCTAAAACTTTCCTTTAAAAAATTATGTTATATTTCAGTTGAAAATACCTGTGTATATTTTCAAAACCTATATTTTAAATATACAAGTAAAAATTGTAAAAAAAATTTATTAAGACTTGATAGGCAGGCCTTAAATCCCTTAAAATCAATCGGCGCAACCTTATTTAGACAGCCCCTTTTTGAATGACATAACATCCCCCTATTCAACAACATTCCAGATCCCCGAATTGGGAAACCTTTACGTCCTGTCCTGAGAGAGTATCAAGCGATTCGTCGCAGAGAGAGAGAAAAACTAAGATCGAGCTGCTCTTTGTAGCTTACAGTTGTCGCCTTGTAGCTACTGTCGCTTTGTGTTGCCCATTAATTCTGATTACAAGGGTATATTGTCTTTATGTAACAGGATTATCCCTTAAAATAATTAAGGACTTGATCAGCAGAGTCAATGTAGCATACAAAAATATAAATATTTTCAACTTGAGATTGGATAGGATTGATTTTATGAATATAATTTCTTCATAATAATTGCTCCATTTAAAAATAATCAATGGATTAACGTTTTGGTCTGATTTAGGCTGTTTTGTTTTCCTTCTCATTGCCTTTGATCAAGTACGTTATTTTCATTCAGTTGGCGTAGTATGAGTAATTTTAATAGAAACGCCTAAACAACATACCACACTTCTTGGTTTTCAAATAAATTTATTGCTCCCAAACTTTCAAAACAAAATGGTCAGAGGGTTTCTGAACTTAATGAATGTAAGAAATTGAAGATTGTTTTATTTTTAAACATTTAAAAACTCAGGCATATTTATTTATAGAACTAAGGTATGGTCCTAACAACTCCCCGTACTTGTTCGTTTTGAATAATCGTATGCTACCGATTGTTCGTGGGTATCTGAAAGTCCATCCCTTAAAAGTGGTACGTTCCTTTTTGCAGCCGCTGCTTCGGCCGGCGTCGGCAGCGCAGTACAGGAGTGAGAGCAGAGAGCCGAGTCCGGATTCTGAAGTTTTGAAGCAACGAGCTGAGTCGCCGCTGTGGAGGAAATTCAATTGCGCGCAATCCATCGGCGGCGACGGTCGCTCAAAAAAACTCTCCAACTCTTAACTCCAGACTTAGAAAACAAAGTAAATGAAGTAAAGTGACCAAGTTATTGCAGATCGAGGAAGTTAAAGCCTTGAGCCCCCGGCACGACGATGGTGTGTTAAACATTTCCTTGTGTGCTCGTGTTTGTTTGTCGGTGAGTTGAGTGCGCGCGCTATTTTTATTTGTTAACTGAAGCAACAGAACCGTTAGTCCCCAAGTGCCCTCAAAAAATAAAAGCAAGAGAAAAGAAACATCAAAAACCAACGAGAAATCCCCAAAAGAATCTGTGTAAAAGTGCAAAGAGACAGGCGGAGAATGCGCCAAAAAAATGGAAACAAAAAAACATTTAGCTGGGTGCGGTGATCTTGAACCCGGGCTCAACTCCGCGTAACGGTGCATCAGCAAGTGCAGGAAAAAATGGGTGAAGAAAGGAGAAGGAGGCTGAGGAGGCCATTGCATTTCTTTTGATTGCTTGTGTATCATCTTCGGGGATCTCTACTCTCTTCGCCCACTCTTCTTTTTGCGGGCATTTTCCGCTCATTTTTGGCGCAGCCTCCCAAAAGGTAATCTCCTCTAGACTAGCGTTATAAAACTGCCGTTAGTTTTTTTATGTTTAACCGTTTTTGGGTGCAGCCACAGCAGAGTGACTTCTTCCTGGAGATAATTACAGCAAAAGGTGCAGAATTTATGTTGACCATCAAAATAGTTTAGAATTACTATTACACGTTGACTTCTTAAAAGGCTTTTTGCGCCAAATTATGTTTATAGGCGGGGAAAATGGAGATTTTCCCGTCGTCTTTTGATTTATTTACATGTGCTTTTTGCTATGGGGACAGAGGGACAAAGAAATAAGAAGCATTTCTTTGTGCAGAAGTCAAACAAACACTCTGACTCATTCTCTTCACCGCGCTCTTTTTTTTTGTGCCCCATCGCGGGAGAAAGAGCGACCGGAGTTAAAGTAACGGACAAGGGACAAAAGCATCGTCATAGTCCCCCAGATCTCCTCCTTTTATCTCCTGCTCCTCCCCTTTTTTTCCACCATCATCACGTGTCGCCAACTCTGTTATTCGCTTACAGAGTACAAAATATGTTCGTAAAGGATTAATTAGAACTTTATCTTATCATTATAAAAAATCTTTATTATATTACTTTTTCTTTATTTACCTTTTAAAGAAAATTAAATACATATTATTTTGATCTCTAATAGCTTAGAGTTAAAGTTACTATTTGCCTATGGTAACAAAAAAAAGGATTGGTTTCGAACTCTGGACATACATATTTATTTATTTATTGAGCATTTTTATCACTTTTATATTTGAACATTAAAATAACTTATGGGAAAACATGATTAAAAGTTGTATAAAAAACTATTAAATTGACTATTATGTAATAATAATTTTTTTTTGTGTACGCTTTGCTCTGGCCATCAGCCATGTCAGCGCCTTCATTATAATAATTTTTATTGCTTTTGCATAAATCAAAAATCACACAAAACGAACCGAAAACAGGCAATCGTAAAATGTGAAAAGGCAGCAGAGGCTAAACAAAACATAAAAGGTGCGTTTTTCGGCTATCTGCACTAATTTCGTATAAAGTTGTTGTTTGTTGGTCCCCGCGTTTTTTTATTCTCGGTTTTCGCATTTCCGTTAATGTTGCTTTTGTTTTTGTGCCAAATCATTGCGGTCTCTGCATACAAATTCATTAGTGACGGCCCCCGGTCTCCTCTCATTTTTCTCCTTTTTGAGAATTCTCCACCTTCTCCTCCCACACACTCTCGTTTCTGGGAATCGCCGTTGTTGTTGTTGTAGTTGTTGGGGCACCTTTCTTGCAGCGGATTCTGCAGGAACTCACACGGATCCCTCTCTTCCCACTTCTTGTTCTCTTCAAGCCCTCCTTGTTCCTTGCTTTTCTGCTGAATTATGCTCAAAGCCTTTGGCGACTTTCTTTTTGTATGTTTTTCTTTTTAGATATGTATGTAGTTCTAGACTTTTGCAGCTAACAAAAAATAAAAAACCAAAAACTCAGACACAAATCCAACTATTTTGTAATCTAATAAAAAGTATTGTGTATTATAGAAAAGTTCAACCAATCATTTCAACATTTCAAGATAGGAATATTTAAATGAACTTTTAAATGTTTTACTCCTCCACTTATCTAATATTTTCAATTTATGTATATTTTGAGTAATGCTATCATTTATCGTATTCCCATATCAAACTGTCACAATCTGAATTATATAAAACGCATTAAGTGCCCAATAGAGTCAAAATACCCTCAACACACAACTGTCCCCTTTCTCACACTAATACCAACACATTTTTTGAAGCATTTTCGTCTTCTTTGAAACCCAAACTCACATAAAACGAAGTTTAAATATTTTTGAGCTGCTTTGTTTCCAATTTTTTGTTTGATTCTAGACTGATTACTGTAACCAAAAATGTGACCCGATACCCTCCGATAGCCCCCCCTCCCAACAATTTGGTCACTAATTTTAGGGCCCCGAACTGAACCAAATACAGATGTCGGTAAAATTTTATTGATCTTCGCTTTTTTCTGCACAAAAATATAAAATTGTTTCATGGTCGATGTGTTGTTGCTTTTGTTGCCGACGAAATCGAAAACCCGCAAAGAAGCAAACGGCAATCGGCAAATCGAATTCAAAACTCGTGTGTGGAGGGAGGAAATCCCAGATCCCAGAAGAAGATCCCTGAAGAGGGCCGAAAAGACGACTCCGGACTTCAGACGCGCCACGACGATAACAACAACAATACAGCAATCAGTAAATACTTGGTTTAGGCGGACTAATACACGGGAAATAAATTTAACTAATGCAGGAATGTTCATTCCAAATTTCTTCTCTTTAAGATCATTTACTGACAGTATTGCGAAAAGATATATAAAATGGCTTATCATAATAATAATAATTTTTTTAGTGAAGAAGCTAACTATTTAAAAAAAATAAATTAAAAACAAAAATAAATAATAGTACAACTTTTTTAAAGCAGTTATCATATGTCAATCTTTTCTTTCAAATCGCGTCCACAATTTCTTCCAGTGCAGCCACTGTCCCATTCCAAAAGCCACAAAGGGCCGCCTGAAAAATATTTTTATCTTGATATTTCTGTTTTTTCTGCCGCTGTTTGTTGTTGTTGCTGTTCTAAATACGCCAAAAGTTGCTTTCGGGGCATAAATATATGTTTTTAGTGTGGCATGTCTGGTTGCGTTTTTGGAACTTGGTAAATGGGGCAAAGGCAGACAGACGGACCTGACCAAAAAGTTGGATACCGGGATCCGGAGTCTGGCAGAATTCATGGAATTAGTTAACGATTAATGATTGGATATTGATTTCTCTGCTTTTGTGGCCTTTTGAGCGGCTCACTTTGGCGACTTCTCTCGCCTGTTTCGCTTTTACTACTCATTAATTTCCTTTAACTATCGGGGGCATTAAAAAACACCGCTGAGCAAAATTAAGTTCCTGCCGCAACAATCTTATTCGTTTTGGCTTCTTTCTCCGTTAAAGGCATTTTACATAGTTTATTTGCGTTGTTGCCAACTTTCTTTTTGAGAGATTCTCTTCCTTATAGCGTTGCTAACTGCTTTACGATCTGAGCAGACATAAAACTCGCATCCAAGGAAGATAGCAGTGCCAAAAGAATGGGGGATAGGAATGGGAACGGGAATATTCTACTCAGTTCAGGTAGTATTCTTCGTTTCTGGGAAACTTAATTTGTGCTCCTTGGCCGCCATATCAAATTGGCGCTATCGAATACCTAACACGGGCCATACACACATACCTGTTGGCATATATAGACAATGCCCCATATAACTATGAAGCACAAGCTTCAAATTTGCTTAGCCTCTCGGTTTCGCCTCTACGAAATTCGAGGCTTAAATTCTTCTAAAACAGATTCCATTTGGAGCATCCATCCCCATACCCTACACATTTGCGTAGAAAGAAACTCCCCGAAAAACAAAAAGAGAACAGCAATTTTAATTTGTGTGAGAACTTTGCTTGACTCGGGCTTCTGCGAAATATTGTTCAATTTAAAGATGCTGCTGATGATCAGGGTACGACGGGGGGATTAAGATGGCGCATATCTGCTGCCGATCATTAGCTATTAGACCGACTCCTTGGCAACAGGCCCGATTTCTTCAGCGCGTAGATTGTGAGCCACTGAAGCTGCGGTATAATTGAGCTGTTTGGAGCCTCTTTCAGGCTGTTCCGAGTCTTCAGTCTAAAGCCTCCAATCTGCCTGCCATTGCTAACGAGATACGCCAAACTATTTGGCAATTAACGGATAATAACATTTGCTTACACATTTGGGAAATAATGAGAAACTTTGTGGGAAGATGGCATGCAACGATAATCCTGATTTTATGACTGGATTCTTACATTTCATTCAGAATATAAAAACTTTGCGTTGATTTGTTAATTTTAAATCTTATTGCTCTAAGTCACTGAGTTAAAAGAATAGGAAAATAGAGCTATAAGAAGGCAGTTTAAATATTTCCGTTATTTCATTTTGTTTATTTTTTCCCAAAATAAAATTTCCCTTGGAAAACCATATATCAGAATTTACCCATTTCCAACGAATTTCACGATAAAAAATAAATAAATGAAAAAAAACATAGACTATTTCGGTATTCTTAGAACAAAACGAAACAAAAGTTGTTGTTGTCATTTCTATTCTTATTTTCAGTAAGCAAGATATTCCACTGAATTGTTATTAAGATAATAATAGATTACAGAAACAATTTGTTAACAAATCCGCACCTGCATAAAATTAAATTATATAATTTTGAGTTTGCAAAAATTGCATTAAATCCAGTTGAGTGTGGTTATTGGTCTTGAGACAATTCTTGTTTTAAAAAGTTTCTACCATTAAACAAAGATCAAGTTTTCCGAACACTCAAAACCTGCTCGAAATGAACAATAATTTCCGATCGTGCGTCTGGAGGAGATTCCTTTGGAGCTAAGCCTGAACAGATGTGGGCAATCAATTGGAGAACTCGCAGAGCGAACCCCAATAAACGATGCGCTGATGGCCGACCATTTGGACTGATGACTGCACCACGTCCAGGGAGAGTGGTCCATATTATGCCATAACGATATCAACGAAATGACTGAGCTCGGACTAACAAAGAAGCCTTTTACATTGAGCGAAAAGTTACAATAGAATTGGAGGAGCTTTGATTGCATTTTTATATTTCAAGTTAATTATTGTTATATTGCTATGTTCTGTTCATAAAAGCTCTTATTATATTCTCTATTTAAAAGTTAAATTATTCAGAATTGGTTGTTGGCAAACTTACCGTTTATTATTATTTCATATGGAAAATCAGAAGCTTTTTAATAATTATATTTTAAAATATTATTCATTTATTTTCTGAAACTGTGATTTTGTTGTTTTGTATATGCACGTTAAATTTTGATCATTAACAAGGATAATCTTGTAATTAAAAAACACACTCTTTTTGATTTCTTAAGCATAATGGATACTGTGATGACCGTTTTGCCTTTTAATTTTATGCAACTAGAAACGTTTTTTTTATTTGGACATATTCTTTTTTGCTGTCCTTTGAACAACTTTAACTTAGGGTAAAGACATAATGATTCCCGATTAAATATAGATTTTTTGCCGGTGCAGGAGTGCCTCGAAAAGGGGTTGGCGGATCACAGGAGACATGCCCACTTGTGGTGCAGTCGCTCTTGGTTCGCCAACTCATATTAAACCACCGTTATGCATATCAGCCACACAATTCACAGAACAGTACAGAACAGAAGAAAGCTGGGGACGCGAAGAGATCGCCACATATCGAATGGAGATTGGCGTGGCCGTGGCGTAACCCTTTAATTATGCCACATACGAGTACGAACTGAATAGAATCTACAGAGTCTACAATCCCCATCCCCCCAACGAGCGATGGTTCTAAGCCGGGCTCGTCGGGACTCACCTCTCGACGTCAACGCCTTTCGAATGGCACTCTGGGTTTGGGGTTTGGTCTTGGTCTTGGTCTGGACTCCTCTGAAGAACTCCTCTGCTACTTTCTAAAAATCTGTCCGGGAATATAAATTGCAGCCACGTTCTCGCTCCTCACTGAGTGCAAGTCAAAAATTCTGCAGCACTCTAAGAGCCGCATCTTAATTGCATTTCGATTACGCTGCTGGAAAAACAAACCAACCAAAAAAAGAAATAACTTGGCCAAACTAGAAGAAATGGAAGCAAAAGAGCAAATCAAATCTACGAGTGTTTGGCGGCAAACATGTTGCACTTGCGAACAGGCCCGCAGCAATCGGTGGAAGTTGGAGTTTGGAGCCTGCCAAATAGACAACAGATGAGACAGCCAGGCACGGCCCAGTCCGCATCTCTGGAACGCCTTTTAAGCGCTGTGTGCTGGCTGGCTGGCTGCTGGGTCCCGAACCCAAAACCTGTTCCTGTTCCTCCCGACCCGGGCCAAAACGATGGCCAAGTCTGGCGCGACCTGCGAGCCTAGAAATTGTAACAGCCAAGAGCGGAGGTTCGGTTCGGTTTGGTTCGGTTCGGTTCTCAGGCGGCAGACCTTTTCTTTACCACCAAGAACAGCGTCTGGTCCTGAACTGGGCCCATTTAATACAGTTATTTTTATTCGCGGCCCTGACTCGTTCTACAGTGGATATTCTATTGAGGAAACTTTTTAACCTCAATTCTCTGTAACTCTAAAACATTTTTTTATTCAAGTTATAAATGTTACCTTAGAATTCATACCATATAATTAATAACCCCAAAAAGTTTAAACGGGCATTTTTGTATTTATTGAAATCCAAGTCTTTGATGTTTTATTGATAGAATGTTAGTATACTCAGTAAAATATTTAAATAGCTCTTACAGTTTGATAATTTATTAGCGCGTTCTTTAGATTTCCTGGATTTAGTTTTTTTGATTTAGCAACAGACAATTAGAATGATTACTATGAAACTAAGCTTTTCATTGGTTTTCTTTAAATGAGAAAAAGTTGACATCGCTTTAAGTAGATGGGTTTTTTAAGGCGCACAGGTGTTTGAGAAATACAAGTTCCACTGTAACTCTTTCCCTCAGCTAAGCAACAAGTACATCAACAATGGGAAATGCAAACTGTTTTTGGCTGGCACTCATGGCCATCCATGACCATTGCCGTTCACTTATCCCTGCATCGAAGCCTTCGGTGCTTTCTTTGGCATCGCAGCAGCTCCTGCTGCAGACTTTGCTGCCATTCGAGTCATTAAAAATGATTCTTCTCAAACTAGAACAGACCAACGGGTAACCAAAAAGCTGGCTATTCTTCCGCAAAGGAGGAGAAATAGCCATCATAAATGTTCAGGAGAAAGGCCAACTAACCGAACGGCAAATGCCCTTAATGAGTTCATCTCTTTTAAGTTTGAAGAGAAAAAAAAGAAAACACGAGGAAAGATTAGTGGGACGATTGAGTAAATTATAAAATTGAATACAAACTAATTAATAATAGCGGTGAATGTATTTCAATGTATTTCATTTATGTTTATTAATAATTTTTTTAATATTGTATTAGTTTTTTAAATTTGTTACAGCAATTAATCCATCTTTCCGTAGATCTAGACAAATTGCCAACTGGCTATTATATATTCTTTCCAACCTTTCATATATATGTATATTTCGATCGACCAAAACCAAGAAGGGGCCGCCTCTTTCCGATCTCGCGCGCCTTTAATTCCTGTGGGGATTTGTCGATCGCGATATCGGCAGAAGTGTGTTATTGCTGACTTGTCAGCTGTTGGCTTGAGCAAATATTATTACATGATATTGTGCACCACCACTCCACTCCATTTCGATCCGATCCGAAGCACAGTCCAGTTGCCCCCGATCGCGGCCCCATTCCATGGCAGCTTTTTCAATGAATTATTAGTTATTTCAAATTTATGTGCCGTGCTGTTTCTCTTTTCCTCATTCTACATTTTTTTTTTATCGTGCGTCTATTTGCGTTTCCGCTTTCCGATCCCCAAGCCTTCGGAATGGGGCTTTCCTTTCAGTTGCTTTTGTTCAATGAAGAAGGAGAAGACCCCGAAGTCAGAAGAGAGTCTTCGTGCCGTTGGGGGCGTATTTGCCTAACAAAAATAAATAAATATAAATTTATTGCAGCGTTTGTTCGTTGCTGGTTTGGTTTTGTGTCGCAGGGAAGAACATTAAAACCTAATGCCGTCTTGGGCCACGAAAAGCCCCCAGCGGCGATCAAATAAACAAATACGAACAAAGCTCCGCTTCTCTGCTCCCCCAAACGATCCAACGATATTATTAGTATTATTATTTGCTGGTTTTCATTTGGGGGCAGATAAGCGAAATACGCTGAGGCTCTCTGAAAATAGTCCCAGTAATAAAGAATCTGTGGAAAAGTCGGGAAGAAAAGGGGTAGCGCGGGCGATTTCTTTTTGCTGCCCTGGCAATTCTTCCGCTCAGCAGCTTTGTTCTTTTTGCTGTATCTCCTCCGCCATCGAGTGGTTCTGGTTTCTACGAATTTGTCACGCTTTGGATTTCAAATTTTGTTGATGTTAGCCAACTGTTAATGGACCCCGCAGCATATTTCTCTACATACATATGTATATACAAACTTCCTCTTGCGAAATGATGTGAGGCGTAAGTAAAAGGCATTTAACGCTTGATTTTGCCCAGGGTTTAATTTTACCTGCTCTCGATCGCATAGGAGATCCGAAACTCCCACTCCGCCAGGACTATTGTTGGGCATTTTAAACAACCCGCACAAAGGACACTCAAGTAAGGGCGGAAATTTAATATGAACTGCTGCACATTTTTTGTTCTTTGTTTTTGAAATATGAGATTTTTAGGCTTTGATCAGAGTGCTCCCATTGTTTGACTACCTGCCTGCCGGTACCTGTTGATATAATTTTTTCGTAATTTTTATCAAGATGTTTTTGTACTTGCTGAAACTTTATATTCAAGATCTTGTATGAAGGAGTTTTCTGGGGAATATGTGAATTTCCCGTAGGACGGGAAGGTGTCAACGTTTTGCATTATGAATAAACATTGCACTTGTCCCGGCCTATGGGCGGTTTGTAAAAACAACGTGGATAACAGATAATAATAATTATTAGTAAAACAATTTGTTTGACTTTTTACTGATAAACTGTTTTCTATTATTTCAGATCTCAATTTTGCAATACTAAGACTTATAAGTTATTTCAAATATATAAAATTATATATTCAGGTGAGTTTGCTTTGGTGTTACATAAATTATATATATGTTATTGTAATATATAAAAAAGCTGGTTTTTATCTATTCAAATACTTACCTCATATCCATGCACATAATTTTTCCACACGTCACATTTTTATGTACACAACTCATAATGCATTTAAAAATTTACCAGTCGCGCGCGCTATTTTGGTACTTTTCATCCCTTTTCCGTTATGAAAATGCCCGCCACGAGGCTGCCACTAGAGTTTGAATTGTCAGAGCTGCCACCTGGTTGGTCGGCTATTAGCGATGTGCCTGTGATTTATATGTGATAATATATAATATATGATAAAAAGTTTCACAAATAGTGTACCAAAATGATCAACAATATAAAATCAATAGAAAAAATGTAACTTTACAAAATAGACCTTACATGTAGTAGATATACGAGTGTTACGGTATTTATTTGATTCAATTTTCTGTGTAAAAAGTCACCCGCAAAAGCAAGGCCTCACGGTCGTATCTCTACTACCTGGGTTTCGGCGCCTGTGTGAGAGAGAGAGGGTGGGTGTCTTGGGGAAAAAAAGTGCGCTCTCTCTCGCTCGCCTCTCTCTTGCCGCTTGCTTCGTAAAATATAAAAATAAAAAATTTTTTGTTTCAGTTTAAAAAAAATTCTCGCTGCGACTAGTTGTGCGTGCAGGCGAAACAGACAGAGACAGAGCAGCGCGAGCAGCGAAAGAGAGCGTCGTGTTGCGCAGGCAATCTTAATTAATTTATTTACGTCTATATTGATTTTTTAAAGTAACAGCTACAGTTAGCCATAATAGCGAGCTAGAAACCAAAAGCAAAGCAAGGCGGACGAAGAGCGCGCGCTTAATAGGTATAAAAATAAATTATATACACAAAAAACCTCCTGAGGCGAGTCTAAATATTTCGAGGTGAGTAAATCTATAAAAATAAATTAAGAAATTTTTATAATTTGTGAATGCTTGCTTTGCCTCTAAAAAAGTATTTCTCTATTACTTGGCTTTCTTTTTTTTACTTTATTATTTATTCCGCTCGCACACCATAAATTAGTAGTAGTCTGCAATTGTTTATTTAAAGTTTATAAAGCAGCGACTTTTTTTATGTTTATCTGTGTGAGCAGAGCAGCGCAGCTGGCGTCGCTTAAAATTAATACCAAGCAGTTGCGAGCGCGTTTCTGTACTTTTCTTTTTGTTTTTATGTAGTTTGATATTTTTACGGTATTCGCTGGCTTTGTTTTTATTGCGCTGCTGCCGCCGACGCCGACAGTGCGCGTCGTTCGCTTAGCACCAAAAAAGAGCGAAAGAGGAGAGGCAGCAGAAGCAGAGAAGATGCAGTTAGCACGAGCACGCACACCTACGCACGCGTATATATACATGTAAACGGCCTGCGACTGTGTAAAAAGCATGTACAAGTCGTGAAAGCGGATGCAGATTTAGGGATGGCAAGCAGCATCGATTTATCGAAGCGGTTATCGTTTAATTGATTTACCAATACTCACCTGGCTTTGCTCTTACTTATGTCAGCATGAATAACAAACGCCTGACCGAAGTCCACACACTATGTTTTATAGCTATGCTTCTTCATTCTTTTGTTTTTTTATTTTTTTTTTTTATTGTTTGAAAAACCGGTAACTATGTATGTATGTATGTATATCCTGAGCGGATGCAGTTTTGGAATGGGAATGACAAACCGTTGGCAACGGTTATCGGCGGTTTCAGTTTTTCAAATTACGCTAGGATATTATCCGCACAGCACAAACAACTTCTTTTCTACGACACTCTGTTACTTTTGTTGCTTATGGTCCCTTTTGTTGAAAAACCGGTAACTGTGTTTGTATGTATCCTAAAATTATTTCTTTTTTCTTTCCCTTCGTTGGATCTTTTCATTCTTTTTTTTTTTAGATATTAAAACAACATCAATTATCTTTTGTTTTATTAAGAGACAGGACGGTCCATATCAGAGTATATTGTTTGAGCAGTCGCATTCCGCCTCACAGAAATATTGTTAGTTCACCAAGGGTTCATGTTCATTAAATTTCAATTGAATATGAATTAATTTGGTTAAGTAAAATTATTATGCTCTGTGCTTTCTCTTCTTTAAATTTGTATTCTATAAGTACTAATTTTTTTTATTAAAGTAAGCTAGGTATTAATCGATATTATCGTATCAAGCTTTTTTTAACATTTTAAAAAGAGAACTTAACAATCCCCTACCAAGTTTAATAAATCAAAAAAAAATATATATTAATTTGGAAACAAATTCCTTAATTTTTGCTTTAAAAAAGAACAGGGTTGGAGGTGTATCTGGAGGAGGAATGGAGCACCTGTCGCACTTGTATCCCCCGCAGCTGCCGAAGGGGCGTGGCCGGCCCCGGGCCACATACGCCCAAACGGGCGAATTCGATTTGGGTCTGATCCGGGAATACCGATCGCATCCAGTGCTATATGATCGCACCAACAAACGGTTCAAGGACAAGCTGTATGTGGCCCAAATATGGGATCAGTTGGCCCACAAGCTGGGCTACGATGGTGAGGATGGGGTATTTGCCCAGTTTTTGCGGGCAGGGATTAATGCAAGACAATTTTTTCTATTCTAAATAGCCACCAGTTTGAGGGAACGCATGACAACGCTGAGAAATCGCTATAACATCGAGAAGCGCCGAGTGGAAAACGGCCTGTCCACGCAGGCTTCACAATGGCCCCTCTTCGAAAGCCTCCAGTTTCTGGGGGATCACATTCGGCCCAGGCGCAGCTTCAAGAACATGTCAATAAAGGAAGATGGTGATGAGCAGTACGAGGTGGACGATTATCAGAGCGACAGCAACGGTCATATGACTAGCGTCAAGGACGAACTGGAGGAAGACTGCGAGATTTTCGATTGCGAGCAGGCACTGCCCGTGACCACAGTGCTGGGGTGAGTTCTGAATCCCATTGATGTAACCCGCTCCTTAATGACAAGACCTGATTTCTCTTTAGGATTCCCCTGAACACCTCCGACGAAGCCAACAAGAGCCAACGCTCGATGAACGGAGAAATGCCCAATGGCAAGGGCTACAATCACTTTGCGGAAAGCTATCAGCGGCGACAACAAAACCAGCCGGAATACATCATAAGTAGTCCCATAATGAACCATGCCAACAAGAGCAATAAGCGTGGAGGAGCACAGCAGGCAACGGAGGATCATCATGCAGCGAAACGCCGTGCCGACGACAGTCTGTCGATATCCGCTTTTTATCCCACACCGACTCCAGCTCCCTTGCCGCCGGCCTATGCCAAGTTCCGGGGGTTCGGCGAGTTCATGTGCCACTCCCTGTGCGACATGCCGGCGGCCACTGCCTTGCGACTGGTGCAGAAGTTCACCCGCGAACTGGTCCAGACCTCCATTCGCAACGAGGGCAGCGGCGGCAAACGGAAGTCCGATCAGAACGATCAGGTCGACCCGGTCGACCAGAGCAGCGAGTCGCAGGAGGAGGACGAGTAGATTTTAAGTTGCACTTTTTAATTACGGGTAGGGATATTGGCACGCGTGTCTACATCTATGATTATAGCATATAGCCGCATTAATGACAGATTCGATTGCGATTACTCCATATATGTTTTAATTATTATACTCTTTTAAGTCTTCTAGCCTCGCGGTAACGGCGGGTGGAAGATCGAAGCATTTCATTTATTAACATAATGGAAAAAAATACACTTATTTGCTTTGTTTTAAAGGCAGGGGAACGGCGCGCGGGCACTCAAACTAATCCAAATTGATCAATTTTCAGATTCGGCAAAAAAGCATAATACTCTATCTGTAAGATGCACATCTGTAATGGTATAGAATCCTATAAATCCTATATAAAGGACCATACATATTTTAAACAATACATTTAATGGTTTTAATGCATCATCTGTACTTCGGATCCAAAAAAAAAAAAAGTTCTTTGGGATGAGGCGCAACTCTGAAGTTAATTGATAGTATCAACGGGTATGGACCTGTATTGGGAAACCATAGCCCTTTTTCCCAACGATCTATGTATTATATACCAAAAAAGATGTTTGCCCGACTTAATTTGGATTGTGAACTGAGTTGTTTATAGGTAAACCAGAGAAACCAGCATGGGTATATATATATTACTTAAAGTTCTAACTGCCAGCCTGGAAACCATTCAAAAAGGTCCTTAAATTTTATTACTTTGTGTATGCCAGAACCGCCCCCAAAAGCTTTCGAAAGCTCACAATCACTTGAGAAAAACTTTAAATATTGTCATCCTAAAGGACAAATTCAATTTATGCCGGTTGCACATGGGGCGCAAAATAATACGATAGATAAAATTGTCATCCTAATAAGTTTTCAACCATCTAGGCCATTTATGCTTGACTCTGACCACCCTGAATCATAGGAGGCGTTACTGAGTAGGATGCTGATTGATGATGTGGGATGGAAAACGCAAAACGCACTTTCGCAAAACCCATTGCCAAATGAAGACTGACTAGGCACATCTTCATTTGACCAAACTGGGTGGGGCTTCAGGCCATTTCTATGTGCCATTCCCCTTGTTTCCTCCTTTTTTTTAATAATGCGTCTATATTTCTTAATTAAATTACAGCTCCTCGCTTTTGGGAGTGAGTGTGTGTGCGAGTAATTACAGTGTTTATGTGGCACTCGGACATTCCTGGCTCCTCTTCCCAGCTGGCTGACTAACCTGGCTTATTGATATTGCCAAGGCCCACAGATCGCAGAGGTGAGTGGAGTGTAAAGTGGAGTGGAGTCAACTGAAGTAAAGTGCGTTCGAGATGAGAGTGCAGTGGTACATTAAAACGTCACCTGATGTAGGCCGTGCCCAGTGCTTATTTGTTGCTGTTTGGAAATACAAATTGCACTAGTCCCGGCCTGCAGTGAGTGTCGGAGTCAACGATCTACACGTAGGGAAATTATTATTGAATACTAACTTGTAATTAAAATAAACAAGCTAAAGGTGAATAATAGGAGGTATTCATTTATTTATTTGTATTTAAAATTTATCCCAAGATATCAGCTTTTAAATTAAATAGTATTGCTTTATTTGGTAAGGGTAACTTGCTTATGTTGTTCATAGTTTTTTTTTAGTTTATTTGACGTCACTTAAAGTTCAAAATTAATAATATTGCTATTTTTTATATAAGGACGAGGTTCTTGGACTAGTTTTATAGCCTAAAATGATTAAAGTTGGTTTAAGAGAATTAAATATCGGTCAAATATTTTTATATGCATTACTAGTTTTGACATTTTGTGCCAGATTAATAAAGACCGGTTTTATGGTACGATGAATATGAACAACACAAGTGTTGATATTAACATATTCATCTTTTAGTGGAATGATAAGATATAAAAATATAATATTGTAAAAGGTCTTATTTAGTTTTTGTAATCGGACCATTTACTACATTAAATATATTCAATTTTTAAAAACATAGGCATAAAAATTAAGTTAAAAAGGTAGGTTTTTTTGTCGGGCTAAATTAGAATCAACCCTTAATTATATGCAGACTTAAATATATTCATTTAATATTCTAATCCAAAATGGTAAATATTTTTTGTCCGTGCTTCCTAGCATATACATACGTTAACCAGAAACCATAGCCATGGCCATAATGTGGTGCATTTTGCGTGCTGCTGTCAAAGTCAGCACCGTACCGTCTTCTCATTTTGCCATCTCGTCTGTCTGGCCCTGTAATTATATAATTTAATCAAATTACTTGCATATGTTGCCAAAAAAAGAAGAAAAATAAGAGGAAACGCCGAAAAAACTAAGCCCCGAAAAGAGACGCTCTGAAGCGAAAAGAAAGACTTGAGAAATGGCCAAATGCAGGCCAACATAAGTGGCAACAGAAATAAAAATAAATGCCCACCACATCAGAGCTTCTGGCGGCGGCGGCGGCTGTGGCTCAAAAATGCTTTATAGCCGCCTTTTTGACAGTGAAATGTGCCTGCGTGTGTTGTGTTTGTCTGCAGATTCATCATCATTATTCTTGCGATGCGGTTGCATTTTGAATTTTCAGGGCGACTTGACAGTTGCAAATTGCAAGCTCATCAGCAGACGGTTAAAAGGTAACTGCTACAAACGCAATAATCGTTAGAGAACTGAGGAGCTTTTATTACCATCTATTAGGTTTAACGTTATTTATTTAAGATTTATATAAAAATCCTGTGTTAGAAAGCTTATCATGCATAAAAATATATACGATTTTGATTCTTATATATTTACGCTGATAGATAAACGGGTTTAAATTTAATTGCTAATATATATAGCTGTGCCTTGAAAATTACAAAATTGTTTGTGAAGTAAAAGGAGTTGTTTTACACTCGCAAGCTGTACATTTAAACTTGTTTATCTTTCAATATGTCGGCGGATCTTGAAACAAATTTTAAATGTTTTAGGTTGCCATTAAAGATTGTAAAACCCGAGCGTAAAATAAAAATACTCATACTCTTTATGGTGTGAATTATTAAAAATGTATAAATTTATATTATTTTCTGCATGGTAATCTTTTGATTAGCCTGCCATTAGTGTTCAAAAAACCCGAGGGTTAAACACAAGTACTCATTATACTTTTTTATGGCGTGAAGTATAAAAAGTGTATAAACTTGTATTACTTTAAACACGATGATAATTTAAAAAAATGCATTGCCACTGTCAGCTTAAGAAATAATACATATGTAATACACGTAGTACTTTAATAACATAAGCAGAAGATTTTGTCCATATGTAGATGAACTATAAATAGAACACAGCATATACATACATAGTTATAATCTTTGCTGATAACCTCATGAATTGGTTCAGGCATGTAGAGTCATTATCAGTCGGCACAATTACTTTGAGGAAGGTTCTGTTTGTTGTTTCGAATTGAAGTGTCTCTTAGAAAAAGATTAGTACTCAAGTCAAAGCAATTAAAAAACATTTAACCTTGGGCAGTTTATAGAGTTTGTACGTTTATAGAGAATTAAAACTGATTGTAGTTAAAGTTTTTATTTGTTTTGTTCTAAATTGAAATAGGAACATTACTTACCAACCCGTATTGTATAGTAAATCCAAAAGCAATCATGATTCTTGTTTCATGTATATGTATTTGTATATTTAAATTTAATTGGAGTTTTAATTATTGTTTAAATTAACTAAGCTTAAACACTTAAATAAACGCGCGAGCGTAATGTAATGTAATGTAATGCATTCATCGTCAAAGAACTCTGGTTAAACCTCTTCTAATCGCAATTTTCGTATCGTATTTCGAATAAAATCACTCAAAAACTGTGCTCTGTTACTTTTGATTAACCCATCCCAATCCGATTCGATCCGATTCGATTCGATCCCTTACGTGATATATTATAGAGTTATATAATAAACAACGAGAGATAGAGAGAGAAAGAGACACACAGGACACGACATCTATAGCTAGTAATTGTAATAAAATAGACGGGAGGCCAACGGAGACGAAGAGATCAATAACCACTAGCAGCATGTCGTAGTAGTGCCATTGTCACAGTCACAATTCGTAGGTGATGTTGTTCATGTGATCGCGCGTCTTTCGCGCCTTGAAGGGGGCCGCAAAGTGTTCGTAGGCGTTCTCGGCATTGTACGACGAACAGCGCCGCAGTCGATGGTGTTGCAGGGAGCTGCTGTACGGAGCATGCCCATGTCCAGCACCGTGTCCACCGGCTCCAAAGCAGCGCATGGCGGCGCACAGCAGACTGCACCATCGCCACGACGAGGTGAAGGCGTAAAAGTGATTGCCCTTGCCACCACCACCAACACCAACACCACCACCACCACTAGCGCCTCCTTTCGTCAGCAAATGCTGGCGACTGTGGTGCAAGTAGGGATTGTAGTTCGAGCGGAAACTGCTGCTGTCGCTGCTGTGGCCACTGTCGTCGTCGTTGCCGCTGCTGCTGTCGCTCCGTCGCAATCCCAGCCGAAAGAGATTCCCGTTGTTGTGGGCCGCATTGGCAAAATCCTCAAAGTCCAAATGCGACTCGTACTCAAATTCGCGATCTATGGATACGGCAGGTGTGATGATCATAAATTGACTATACTTTTGTTGGCTGCGATTCGATTGATGTTGCTGCGGCTGCTGCTGCTGATTTTGCAGCTGCTGCTGCTGCTGCTGCTGGTGCTGCTGTTGTCGATGGTGATTGCGCTGCTGGTTGGCCAGTGAATTGAGCAGCGTCTGATTGGTGTCCACCGAGGAGTAGCTATTGCTGTTCGACACCGGCGACATGTCATTGTTGTTATTATTCACATTTCCGCTGCTGCTGCTCGTGCTGTTGTTATTGTTGCTGGTGTGCGTAAAGACGCCAGCGGGCGCTGGTTGGGTGGTGGTCACAGTCGCGGCAGCGGATGCAACCTGCTGGGGCTGATAGTGCTGGTACTGCAACTGCAGCGACGGTTTGGCATGCTTCCGCCTCTTGGCAACTGGAGGAGCTGAGGTCTGCTGTTGTGGCGGTGGCTTCTGTTGTTGTTGTGGTTGCTGCGACTGCTGCTGATGTGGGTGATACTGTTGTGGGTGTGGCTGGTGCAGCGCTGGCGATGTGGTTGTGGGCGTGGAGCCAACAGAGGGCATCCATCATCTCGTATCCTCCGTCCCGCTACTGCTGTCATCGGGCTTCACGATTTGGTACGTTATCAAGTACTCCGGATAAGACTACAAATATAAATCAATATCGTAGAATG